ATGGTTTCATACAGGTAACTATTTCGCAGTGTTATTCAAACATACACATAGAATAGAAGACAATAAAATAATAAATTCGAAGTAAATTCTTTCCTATTTGAAAATCACAGCATGATCCGAGAAGGGAGAGCTATTCCTGCGAAGGGAGACGTTTTATTCAACACGATCTCATTAATCTTGATCACAGGGACAACTCAAATAGCAGTCGGCGTCTTGGGGTGTTAAGAAGCTTTACATTTAGATTCGGGCAGATATCTCTCAACAAATATTAATAGATAGTCTACTCTTGTTCACATCAAAGAAGTAATATTTGCATTTAACCATGAACACCTATAATTATTGTAAGATTATTGTTATTATAGTCTTCATTTCTATTTTAAAATTACTGTAAGAATATAAAAGTATAAAATCCGACACTGGGCTTACCATAAAATTGTCAGTGTGTATGTCCCTTCACTAATCAATGTGATACTTGACTTGGTAAAGAAAGCGCGCCATTCGCGCCAAAGGATTCTAACTAATAATATCATATGTAAATTACATAATCGAGGCATCATTTCTAGCATCACATATTATGAAAATAAAAGAGGAAAGGTTTGATTATTTGTTTGAAACTGATAGAAAACTACTCTATCCCCGTAAGTAAAACCCTAATAATATACCCTAATAATAAATATTTATTATCAGTTTTTTTTTACAAATTTTGTCGATGACATTACGAGAACGTTCTCATGAATATTCGTGATAGGCCTTCAGAATACTATGTTCATTTAGTACCAAAAAGATTTCAAAAGCGAAATTATTTCGGTCTTATTGTTATCTTATCACGTGTCACAATTTTCGTTCTCATACTCCTCCGAAACGGCTTGACCGATTCTCATGAAATTTTGTGAGCATATTGATTAGGTCTGAGAATCGGCCAACATTTTTAATCCCGTGCGGACGGAGTCGCGGGCGACAGCTACATTAACATTTTTGTTTTGTAAGCTAAAGTTACAATCTATAATATATTTAGGTTAACATTTGTAACTGTATGCTAAACAATGTTTTATTCAATTTCGCATAATTAATTTCGATCAAAGGAAAATTTCTTCGGAAGCTGTCAAATAGCTTTACATTCACACTTTTGATTTGGGAAAGAAATTCTTTGCGACGATGATTCGTGATAATGTTTGAGTAGGCGTCCCTTTTCCTAATTTAAATTTACACGAAATGTTTTAAATTTTCTTACAATATATTTTAATGATGAATAAAAAATCGTTATTATTTTGTTTTCAGACTATATTGAGAATATTTAAAATAAAAAAATAAGCTATGTACACTCGCAGAACGTCGATGGATCAGGGGTTAAACATTTGACTTCTAACGTGCAGGTCCTGGGTTCGAATCCCGCCGTGTACCAATGTGTTTTTCATATAACTTATGTGCATTTATCCGACTCACTGGAGATGTATAATGAGCTGATGATAACACTATAATGTAACTTAGTAAACCACCCGAGTATTATAAAATTGCACATTTATTTGATTTCAAGCTTTATAAAAAATATCAGACTCAAAATTCCCGTGCAGCTAGATCGTTATTCCAAGCTTACGCCTACGTAATCTCACACAAAGATGGGATTTCGAACAAAATACTCACGTGGCAGCAGAGCGGGTGAAGGGATTACACGTGCTTCTAAAATTATTTTAGGCCAGGCACATTTACTTACAGCATTTTCAAAGCACAAGATAAACAAGAAGTTAGGTAACGTCAATAGGTTGTTGTAAACACAAGGCACATAACGTGAGATGGAATTGAACAATTACAAGATTTGATGACGTCACACTGTTCTTTTACAATGCACAAAAAGTTTACGTCAAATGAAATAAACTATTAACTAACGAGACTGTGGCATTACCTTCGACGCTTGATGTGAAGAATATAGGGGGCCTAGCACGACTATTTGCGAAACACGCTTTCGTAACTTCATCGACAAATTAGTATGAGATTTGCTGTCATATTTTACACTCTGTAACGCCCTAACGGGGTTGAATCGTTCTCACGAATATTCGTAATGGGCCTTCTGTTACGTCGAATACGACGTGTGCAATTTTATAATTGCAATTTATCTATAGTTAATACGTCTTTGTCTTTTCCTGTTCCATCCTGTTTGTGTATATTTAATTTTCTTTTAATTTTAATTCTTAATAATTTGAGATGAACATTTGTAGTCAATTTGAAAGAATAGATAACAGATCTGAGTATAATTGTCAGTGACACCCGTGTCCCGCGTCACACCCTCGTCACGGCGACTACGTTATTACCTAACAAAATATCATCATAAATATCCTTTTAGAAGTCAATCGTGACGTTTAGAGATTTAATATTCTGCTCCATCTTAATCTTATTTCATTTGAATATTTATTCTAACATTAGAACTGGTTTCTCACTTACAAAAGAAAAAAATATTACGAGTTAGGTTAGATTAGGTTTACAAGAACCATATTGTATGAAAAACTGTCACTGTCCTACCTTCATTTTTAATTCTGTGACCTTTACTGTGGGTTTCTAAGACCAAAATCTCTGTGTAAAACAAATTGGCATCGCTTTCTATCTTTGATAAATAGTCTCAGAAATCAACGGTAACTGAAGATTTAGTATGAGTTTACACCAAAGGAATGCTTAGCTTGAAACAACTGAGCGCGGCGGGTATAGTACGTCCAAGGTCACTATGGTACAATCAAATGTTACTTGTCTTACCAATATTATAAATGCGAATGTTTAGGATGGATGATCGAATGTTTTTAGAAGGTATCTCCCGAACACAGTCTGGACGAACACATAGGCTACTAATTAAGTTATTTTTTTTTTAGCGCGGATGGAGTCGTGGCCAACAGCTAGTGATTTATATAAGGCGACATGCTTTTTAATAGCAACGTTTAACTTTGTCAAATCTATTTTTAATTCAATATGAGCTGCAGTGATCCTTATCTAAACGACAGGAAAAGCGATGTTCAGCTAACAAGGATCTTGGTAGAGTGCCAAAATAAATTAGATCGGCTCGAACGTAACATACCTCTGACTTCGGTATGTCTGTAAGCTAAAGGAAAGGAATACGAATAACCTAACATTAAATCCTTAAATACGATCCGAAGGTTTTTCAATTAAAAATCTAGATGAGAAATCGATTGAATTTGATACGAAAGTATTAAAAATGTTCAAGTTAAAAAGCAAATGGATCAAGATTATTGGATCCTATAAATAATCAAAGTTGAAGGAAAATATGAAAACAATCTTAAAGTCGTTATGTATGCGATTTTATTTCGTTTACTTAAAGGATTATTTTGCAAAATAAGTACAAATATATTTCCTTAACTAAACGCTTTCCAATGCTTGAACGTTTCGAGATGTTCTTAGACTTTCAAATTTAAAACGAACTCCAGTGCTCTATCCTTTTGAAATGAATCTGTAAAAGCAATATCATTTGTTTTGAATATCCGATTTAGATTGCTCGCTAGTCCGATATAAAATAAAGCTACGAATGATTTACTATCGTTTATTTTGCATAGAAATATTTGAATTGTGTGCAAATACAATATACAATGTCACAATCCCATAAGATATGGTTTTTAGCTTTGTTTCCCTAAAAATAAAACATAATACATCATGTTTGAATATGTTTTCAAAAACTGAACTATCAATGAAATTAAATATGAACATTTATCTTATTATTTAAATATATTGTACTAGTTGTAGCCCGCAATTTTGTCCGCTTGGAATTAAAAAGAAACAAAATGAGCTTATATATTCTTCTATGTTCTACATCTATGCCAAATTTCAGCGAATTTGATGCACCTATTTTGGAGATATCTTCTAACAAACATACGTCTAAACATTCGCATTTGTAATATTAGTAAGATTTACGAGATTGACTTGAATTGATTAACAAAGGGTTTAAGAAAGCCTTATTCAATTTTTTTCAGAAAATGTGTCTAATAAATAAATTATGTTACATCAAAACCTAATTAATTAAAATAATAATTAATCATAGCAATTATATACTCGTGTTAAGGATGGAGTCATTCCCCGCGTGATAATCTTTGAACTACGTTTGCTGATAAACCACTCTGATCCGGTTGAGAACCGGTAAGAACTAGATAAATAAACTGAATATGTTATATATCCGATAACTGTGTATATAAACATCGTTGATTTGGAAATGTTGATGGCCGAATTACTAAATTAGGTCATCAAACCATTGCTGTGTAGGAAAGATTTATCAGTATTGATCTTATATATAAAATTCTCGTGTCTCAATGTTAGTTACCATACTCCACAAAAATGGATTGACAGATTTTTATTAAATTTTATGTACATACAATACAATGCAATATGTATTGGTATTGTTTAAATTACATCAAAGAGCGATTTACAAAAAAAAAAGAAATAAAAATGTTTTTTTCTTCACTGAAAAATCTTCGTACGAATATATATTCAGTAGGTCTTAGAATCGACTACTATTTTTTTTCCTCGCCGACGGAGTCCGTCAACAGACAGTGTTTTTTATAAAAACATATTTTACGATGTAGAAAAATTGCAAGTGAAGTTTGCATCTTTATTTTCAAAGAACATAATTGTTCTAGGAAGAGAAATAATCATACCAAAGATGACTTATTCTTGATATATTCAATTGTTTTGTTAGAACACATGAATAAAATGTGTTTTAGTTTTTATTTTTTGTATTTAGATGATTCTATGTTTCGCCGTGAAGTGATACTGGGTTTATTAGGAACTTATTAGTCTATAAATAAATGTCATGTTGTTTTATAAAAATGTTAAAACCTTTTTGTAATATAATTTTTATCTTGTGACCTAAATACGCTGTCATACATTTTTCATTAAAAAGTTTGAGTCATTTTAATAATAAACAGTTTTTTTTCGAATATTAATTTATTGTAAATAATACTTCTTTTTTTAATTACAAACTAGTACAATAACATATAAAACAAGTAATGTAAAATAATACCAGAGTATTTCAAATTAAACAATACCATTGTAACAACAAATATGTACTACAGAATACAAAACAAAACAAAATGTCACAATATGTACAATTATTTAACTTTAGAATAACACCGTACTCAGAATTGTTTGATGGTTCCTAAGGGAGTGTAGATTTCTGATACAAAATCTGAGGAATCGTTTAAGTACCATTAAGCGACACTGAGCTACAGTAAATACTTAAATTACTGTTAGTAAAAATAGTTATTCCGAATCGATCAATCCGAATATTTTAATTCTACTTAAACCGCCATCAGGAGCTATTGTTACTCTTAAATGGGTTATGATTTCTGAATCAACTTTATACCAATGTTCCTTGTTTGCTGACAACTGGAAAAAATAATTTAAAAATAAGTAAAAAAATTGCACAGATATGCGCCAAAGATTAAGTGGTCGATGGCAGTGTTTTTAGCGAATAATTATCAACTATTGGAGTCAAATTAATAAAATATATTTTTTTTTCACCTATACATATTATGAACTGGTTATCGTCCGCGACTTCGTAAACACGGAATTAAAAAAAAAACTTAATTAGTACCCTAAGTGTTCTTCCAGACTATGTTTTACATATATGCCAAATTTCTGGAGATACCTTCTAACAAATAAATATCCATCTATTCAAACATTCGCATTTATAATGTTAGTAAGATTAGATCTTAAAAACATTAAAATCAAAAAGTTCTCTCACCTTGCTTGAATTTAATATTGTTTGCCATGGGATCTCTTTCTCTTCAGTCCAATTAAAATTGTCTAAATAAACACCTTCGAATTTCACTGAGTCTGGAAAATTTCCTTTGAAATGTGTTGTGTCCACGGAAATCTTCTTTATTGTACCCGGGAATCCTAATTTAAATACGGCCCATTCATTTCCTGGAAAAATAAAAAGTGAATTAATAATTTTCTTTCTAAACTTTCTTAATGAAATTTATGTTGGTTTAAATAAAAAAAAATGTTTCTTTATCTCACGCCTACAATTTAGATTTAATTTCAATTATATTTTACAACCAAGAAGGTAACTAATATTCGTTTATTTTAAAAATCTATCCGTAGCCTAGTAACCAAAATAACGCCTGCCTCTAGAACGACAAGAAACAGAACAAACACGGATGGCGAACCAATAGCACGCGTACCATTATTCGGAAATCATTACAAAATATTACCTTGTAATTTAAGAGTGCCGTCTGCATTAGCCTCAATGATGTTGGGTCTGTCGAGTCTACGCGCAGTTTCCCAGCCGTCAGACATCGACCTGCCCTTGCCCGGCTTTATTATGTTCTTGGGGTGACCGAAGTGAGCATTAGAAAACCCTGGAAATATATTGATCTTTAACACATATGCAATAAGGTTGAAATTAAAGCTTTATAGATGCTTTATGCTTTATACAAAAATCTCCCTATTTCTGCGTTATTTCTTCATCAGGTATTCTGATTTTATTGATGAAATTTATAAGGCTTTCTTTATTTTTAAACTCCATGTAGTTGTAGTTGCAAACATTTCAATAAATATAGTAGTAACAAGAAATAATAGAATTAAGGAATTAATCTTACCAACACAACAGCCTCCGTTAACAACAGACACCAAGTCTACAATGTCAGTTAGCGCAGGTCGTTCTGGCCGCGGCTCGCCGAACACTCGCAGCCGAGCTATACCACCATCAGGGAACATATTCACACGAATATGAGTCCATGCTTCGTCACTAAGGACCTGGAATATTTCACTTATTATAAAAAATCTAGTGACTCCCAAGATATCTTTAGGAGTTCTGCCACCATAAACCCTGTGGAATTTAAGGCTCTTTCGGGTAAACTGGTGAATGGTCAGACACATAAAATGGTTCATGAAAATAAGGTTACTAAATTAAACTAAATTGTATTAGTATTATTATAGTAAGCATGGACGTATAATTTATGTGTATAAGGTTCAATAGGCAAGTAGATCAAATGGAGCGTGTTTCCGCAGTTCCGTCCTTCATACATAAATTAAATGAATGTACCTTTTGGTAATTATGTCTTGTTTCTTCATAGCCTGGCTGCAATGCGGTAATCGGTACGATTTCTTCCCATTTGTCTGATTCTAGTTTTTTAATTTGTTCTAAATCGTCTTCGCTTGAGGCTGTTCCAATTGCTTCAACTCTTCGTGGTATTACTGATTCCTCTGTAGAAATAACATCAACATAAATAATTATTGTGAAAATCATTTTATAACTGGCATATAATGTGACTTCGATTATTTAAAAAAAAAATACTGACCTTCAGGTGTTAAACAAGCAGCCTGAATTGAATATTTGGGTGCGTAGTTACCAGTAAAGAATGCCGTATCGACAAGAAAACCTGAAAAATTATTAACATAATCAATTAAGATTTACTCTAACGCGTGAATAAACTTATGATACCAGATCTTTGAAGTTACATTTTGGGAACTCTTCTAATGGCTATAGTTTTATGTTTTTAGACAAAGGTATCTTGATGATCGAAATAATGAGGAACACATGATTTTGCCTTCGAAATCCTGCCTGGTGCAGTAACGTTCCTTACTAGTATATCTACTTTCTCGTCCCAACAAATATTTCTATAGTTATATTTGGTGGTTTTAAAATGAATCAGTCCTTACATAGCTATCTAAGGACGGATTAATTCAAGAAGAACGGCACAATAATTAAAACATTTAGTACCTTTGATAATACACTTGGTAGCAAGTTTAAGTATGCACCAGTCGTGGCCTGCAACACGCTTCCTCCTCGTCTCCCATCCGTCCATCCATTTGCCAAACTCCGTATATTTATCTTCAATGAAGATAGGCTCACTGTCTGATATCATGTTCTCGCAAGTCGCAAAAAAGTCGTCCGTTGAAAAGGCAACTTTTCCACCTGCCTGTTATATGAGAAATAACTTTGGTTAATAGATGAATGTGGATGGGTACAAAGGTAGAGGAAGACCAAAGAAAGTATGGATGGATTGTGTGAAAGAGGATATGCGTAAGAAGTTGGTAGATTCGGATATGACGCCTGATAGAGATGTATGGAGGATTAGTACATACTGTGCCGACATTCCGTAGGGATAAGGGCAGGTTGGTGATGAGCTTAATAGTTTACTAAATTTAATAAATAAAACACTTTGCTGTATAAATGAAGCTTAAAATTAAATATTAATACTTACACCAGCACTTGCCAGTTCACTAAATTCAACGAAACCTGGTTTAATACGTTCAAACATTTTTGATAAATGAATATTTAAAATTGTAATATTAATATAATATTAAACAGCACAATATATCATTAAATGCACTGACGCTCGTCAACTGAACATAATTATCCCAACAACCGTTTATATACAATTCGTAAGAAAACTGATAACAATAAAGTATAGAGTTCAATTCATTGGTACTTCTGTTAACGTTCTAATGACACCGCAAATTTTCCTGTCACTTCGAACTACTGTTCTGGTGAATTATCAACAGTTTTTATTCAATCTATTTTAGTATATCGGTCAGTAAAATAAAAACTTACTCTGGCTTAGAATAACACCATTCACGTTTATCTTTTTTATAGAGGTAGGAATTCCAAGAAGTACCTAATATAGCCAAATTTATTTGGATGTTATCAATTACCTTTACGTACGTCTATTCGTTTCTGATTTTTTAAAATATTATTAAGTAGCAAACGAACAAGTGGCCTACGGGATTCGCTGAAATAGTGAAACGAGTGCTGTCTTTAGACGTCTGCAATTGCAGATGCTTTTCCTACCCTTAATCGACAGACGATAGGACAAACAGAAAGATAATATTTTCCCTTTCTATGCGTCTTGCCTCCGACAAATCCACTTCCACTTAACCTTTCCGTATGAGAAAAGGATAAGGAAGGGAAATAAGATTAAAATTAGGCTTCCAAAAATTAATAGTTTTTTTTTCGTACTACTTGTGTTAGAGTCTGTAGCAAAATCTGTTGCCGAACGACCAGGCTAGACCATAGCAATGCCATCCTAATTCTTCTAAAAAGATCATAAGGTCGATGTCAAAATTTATGCGTTACTTTTATTTATATTTGATATCAATTCTTATAGAGAATTTAAATACTACTTTAACATTTACAAGATTAAAACAACGTCTGTAATGCATCTAATAGTGATTTTTAAACAGCAAAAAAGTGAAATGATTCGATACGAATAAAATGTTATTTAGTTTTTTCCAAGCGTAAATAAATTTGTCCTCGGAATCGAAATAGATCACAAACCTTGAATAACTAGTCTGCATTTTTAGATTGTTCATTTGTCTAGATTTTGAACGAGTCGTCTATTCGCCGAATTAGTTAATTGGTGGCTACATTTCAGAATCTCTGTAACTTGTCTTTTTCGTGAAATCACACTTAAATTTAATTTTATTGAATTTCGTTTGTTTAAACAAGTTAAGTGGTTAGAAAACGTTAAAGATCCGTAATAAAACAGTAATTGAGTATGGTACGCTTGGTTCAAATAACCCAAGGGGTCATGGATTCGAATCATCATGAGCTCCTATAAATCCCTACTGAGGGACTCGGAGCCTACCCCAAGTTAAGGCTGACTAGGTCATATTCAACTACGCTGGCCCTGTGGGGGTTAGTTTACTATCTGCCATTAATAAAATTTACTTGGAATTATTTTAAATTCAAGAATTAGAGGTATTAAAATCTCCCGAAACCGACTTGTAGGTATGCATAGATGTATAAATGTAGAAAAAGCGTGAGAGATGTGTCAGCGCCGCGCCAAATTGAGGTCCCTTGTCTCTGCTTACCCCTTTAGTTTACGGGCATTGTATTGATTTAATTACTCTCAAAGTAAGAATAATTTAATTACTCTGTTAGTCGTAGTATTAGATATGCGGTATTTTTTAACTACGAATATTATTTTTTTACATTTTTTAACTAAAATGTTAATATTAAACCAACATTTGTTATCTGTGTAGTGAAAGGAATACCCCCCGTCACGTTTGCGACCTCTGAGGGAGCATTCAGCTCAAAGAAGGTCTGTTACTATAAGTAAAGTCTATTGTAAATGTAATTAATGCACTATCGCAAGCATAATGGAAGTTTTGCATTATGTTAAATTAAAAATTCCATTATTCAAGAACAGCCACGATTAGGTCTTATTAATATTATAAATGCGAATGTTTAGATAGATGGATGTTTGTTAGAAGGTATCTGCAGAACGGCTGCTTGGATCTCGCTGAAATTTGGCCGAGATGTAAAACGTAATCAGTTTATCAATTAAGTAGGCTACTAATTTTGTTTTTTTTTTAATTTCGCGCGGACACAGTCGGGAACGACCACTAGTAAATTTATAAAAATAACCACTTTAGAAAATTTATTTTTACTAAACACAAACAGGTTGTGTTGTGTGACAGTGTAAATAAAAAAAACTAACTTGACGAGTGAGGTGTCACACGTCAAAATCAGTTCAGCCGTTTAGGTTACAGGGGAGTAGTCTGTATTGTAAATTACTTTCATACAAATCCAAATACATAAAACATACATACATGACTGAGAAAACGTAAATCTCCTATTCGATGATAAATAAGCCTTCACGACCTTAACAGTACAAGCAGTTTCATTTGGTACGGTACACATCTCTGTAACTAAGACAAGATCGGTAAATTGAAAGTTGCTAATTAATATAATTGTTTATGTAACCTGTCAATTAATGCGAGCAACAGATTTCTATATTAATTGCGCAATATCACAACAAATCACTCTCTAGCGGACTGACAATCAGGCGAGAGGTTAAAGTGTATGGCGGAGTTTATAACGAACTGGTTTTAAGCGGTTCTGCAATCAACTGCAATAGAACGTGTGTCTATTATAAGTAATATTTTGATTTTATTTTATACATAAAAACTTTTTTGTGAGCAAAATACTGTATGGAAGTAACCGCTGCCATATATGAATCAAGATAAAATAGCAAATGCGATGCCATATACTAGAATTAAAAAGAAAACTTGATTAGTAACTTATGATTCCTTCCAGATGTTCTACAAGTATGCCAAATGTTACCGAGATTGTTTTTTGCTTTTTTAAGATGTTCTACTGCTACTTTCTAACATCCATCCATCTAAACATTCGAATTTATAATATTAGTAAGATTGTGAGTGTAAGGCCAAATGCATATTCTATACACTTGATTTTCGATTCTTGTTGTCACATTATTCCTTATCCCCTGCACAGTATAGGAACTTTCCTGTGATCTTATTGAACGCTGCACGTCGGATAAAGTGCTACTACTGAGCGCCTTTGTTGCTTCACGATCGTGTAAAATTTCCTTCATTACAACAGTCCGATGTTTGTAAACTGATCTTCATCGCACTTAAGGTCGAACTTGTGTTCTTGTCTTTAAAAATTATAATAAAGTTAGTTATTTCATAGCAAATATAGAGTACATATTCAAATCGAAAATCGAAAGACACATTGGTATGGCGGGATTCGAGGATGGAGGATTTATCCGACGTTCTTACGGTGAAGGAAAACATCGTAATGCAACCTGCACATATCTGAGAAGAAATAAATATAAGAATAAAGATATGTGTAAAGTCAATCAATCCGAACTTGGCCAGCGTGGTTGACTATGGCCTAATCACCCTTAACTTAGGTTAGGCTCTGAGCCCCTCAGTGGGGATGTATAGTGAGCTGATGATGATGATGATAGAGTACAATGCATTTAGAATTATGTGTATGAGTCCGCGCCATATTGTGACGTCATAGCTAATCGAGAAAATAAGTAGGGTCCGAATCTCTAAGGTCAAAGTACACTAATAATAAGTAAACTTTATTCGATAAGTGTTCTATATATTTCTACATATTAATTGTATTCATTGCATGAAATAGCAAAGGTCAAAAGATACGTGGCAGACACGTCTCGCATCCCACTATACATATATAATACATAGCTAATCTTATATGTATACGAGTAAATAAATATGTATATTTTAGTATTTTATTTACATTAATAAAAAAAAACATAATAAAGAGATTGCAAAACGCGAGCTACAGTAATTTTGGATACCATAGTTATTTGCAAATTTATTAATATAAATGCGAATGTTTATATGGATGTATGGATGGATGTTAGAAGGTATTTAAACGGCTCAACGAATCTCGATGAAATGTAGCATAGATGGAGAGCTTACCCTTAAAGAACAAAGGCTACTAATTAAGATTTACTATTCACTCCGCGCGGACGAAGTTGCGGGCGTCAGTTAGTTTTTAATACAATATTTACGGATTTGAACCTTTACCTATATATTAAAAATCATTTCAATGATTTCGTTAGTTTATTTCAATACTTACATAACACAAAAGAACTGTTAAATAATGTCATTCTAAAATACTATTGAGGTAATGATGTCAATTTTTTTTGTCGTGTTTTTATTGTTAACTTCACTTATTCTAAGAAATTTAAAGATCAAGGTGACCTTTTTATGTTATTTTTTTTTCTCCACTTGTATTTATTTAACGTTATAACCATCTATATCTTATTGAAGTATAAAATCACTTTCATTTGAAATATATTGCATTTATTAACTGATATTATAAAATATTTAATCGAATTTGGTTTACTTTAGAGTTTTTTTTAAGATACAATAGTAGGCAGAGACCACGGTTCTCCATTTGGCGTGGTTCTGACACAATTATCTCTTTCAACTTATTTTTTAACTTCTTCTACATTCATAAATGCACAAAGAGGATTTGATTTCCTTTCTTTCTTTCTATTTTGGGATCGGTTTAAGTACAACACTTTCCTGTATCCCCTCCTCCATCAAATCCACTTCCTCTTCCCTTCCTTACATTATAAGAAACTTATGGTAAGGTGTACTAAATTTTATCAGACCAAAGAGTATAGCATATCTATAGTATAGTCTAGAAACGTATCAGACGAAACGCGCAATCACTTTCACTTCACGCCAACAACACAGTCGTGGTGTTGCGCTAATCGAGTCGGTTGCTGGCTTCTTAATTTATTTACATTGTGGATAATTTTCAACTGAGTTTTTTCATTAACTTCATTAATAACGACTCCCTGACGGCGCGGCTGACTTTACAAACCTACATAACTAATTAAATTTTGCATAATTTTGTTTCATAACACAATAAAACGCGTCCAAGTTTTTCCGTTCCCGGACTCAGCCACAATACGTTCTGTTGTTGAAAGTCGTGCTCGTACAGAATAATTTGTGAAATGGAACGAGAAAAGAAACGTGCGACCAGATTACAGTATGTTTTAATTTACGAGAAGTTACAACAACGAGCTGCGAGATTATGTACACGTGAGGTTTCA